TGTAAGTCAAAAGCATTATTTCACATCCGGAGCTGTTTGTAAATCAATACATTCGCATGTCAGGGCATTCGTAAGTCAAGGCACCACTGTATTTTTTAAAATGGCAGAACAATTCAACCCCCAAGGCATAATCTACCATTTACTTTAAAATGCCTCAGTTTGAAGAAAGGAGAGGCAAAGAAAGACTGCAGTTTGAAATTGCTGAATTGCCATCTTGGAAGAAGATCAGTTCTATTACCTGTGGCCTCAGTCCAGGATAACATGTGTAGTGATGGTTCTTGATACTTGGTAGCTAAAAGAATTACTGAGAGTGCTTTAATCCAGTGGTTCTTAACCTTGGGTTACTCAGGTGTTTTTGGACTGCAACTCCCAGAAGCCTTCACCACTAGCTGTGCTGGCTGGGGTTTCTGGGAGTTGCAGTTCAAAAACACCTGAGTAACCAAGGTTAGGAACCACTGCTTTAACCAAATCTCTCAAATTGTGAAGTTGTTGCTATATTGAATGCTACTCCAAAAGGTTCTTGCTCTGTTGGGTAGTTTTGTAGTGTTAGAGAGTGCCACTGAACAAGAGAGACTGAAAACTGTGTGTGCATAGATAGTTCTATGCAGTCACGTTGGATACATTACTACCTCTTTGGAGAACAGTTTTTATAAGCCAAACTTTGAGTTCTTCATTATAGCCATTGTAAATCATATTGGGTTCTCCTTGCACTTGCACAATAATCCTTGGACACGTCTAGAGTGCAGCGACACCAAAATTCCACTCTCTCACCCCAGTAGGCATGCTCCCTCTCAGCACTCCTCCTTCAGTTCCTTCTTTTCTGTGGCCAAGGCAACAGCAAGGGAACTTCTAGAAACTCTAGACTTTATTATTTAACTGCATATAGTTGTTCTTCACTCTTTGTTTCCCCTTGCTGCTTCACCTATTAAAAGAAAAAGAAAGAAAAAATTGTATTGTTCATTGCAATTTCCTGCCCTTTTGTATGGCCCCATAGGCCCATTTAAGATGTGCAGATCTTATTCTAACAAAATCCCTTGTGTGACCATCATTTCCTCTGTCATTATTGCCTTAGGTAGGACCACAGACCTCAGTCTTATTCCATCTATAAGAACTTTAGTAAAGTTCCCCTTTGCAACCAACAGTCTCAACTCAGGTGGCTCCTTTGGGAAAGATCTCTGCAGGCTGTGGACACCAAGCCCACCCCCTAAAATCTCAATGTGCAAGACCCTTCCAAACAGTCCATGGTAGAATCCTTGACTTAGCTGGATCCACAAAGCCGATCTGTCCAGGGATTGAATTCTGTAGTTTTTCTCGATAAAGCTACCTAGGACTCCTCAGTTGTGACTTCAGAGGCTCTGTTGGTGTTGTTATCAAAGTCACCAGCCTCAGTATCCAAGAAGAAATGGAGGGTGTTGGGATCACCATCTGTCTTGCCACCAACATCACAGAGGATTGCATATCTCTACACCGGGCAGGAAGAAGAGACCATGTTCTTGTTCAAGCACTTGCAGCCCATATCCATTATTGTAGACGTTTCCCAGATCCAAACCAAAGCATACTACTCCAGTCAGTAGATGCACCATATTGATGGGCACATTTATTGTACAGTGGTGTTGAACATTTTTGTAGCAAACTACATGCTGCTGTGAGGGCCTACCATCAGTTTCTCTGATACAACTCCAGTCAGTAGATGCACCATATTGTACAGTTTATTGTACAGTGGTGTTGAACATTTTGGTAGCAAACTACACACTGCTGTGAGGGCCTACCATCAGTTTCTCTGGGAAAAGATACAATTCTTCCTAAAACAACTTGCCTGAGGATAAGTGAATTTTTGCATTCATCTTCCAATAGGAGGCACTCTTCTTGGCCACCCATCAGATTCATTCAGCCCAGCATGTGATGAACTGTGTGGCAAAGAACATGTCTGCTACAGTGGCCCTCTCGCTATGTGTGGCTCTGGTCTTCAAGCATCTCAGAGGATTCTCACATGTGGATTGTGGACCTCCCTTTTGATAGAGAGGGGCTTTTCAGTGGCAAGACCAATGATGTCATGGATAACATAAACAAAAAATGTGATGCAGCTAAGCAGATGGAAGTTGCTTCTCCACAATTCTGGCAGCATCAGAGATGGTACAAGCTCATGGAAGCAGACTCCTTCCTATTAGCTGTACATGTCCAACTGACAGACCACACGTCTTGTTGAGAGTTCTGGGAAGATGCTTAAGTTCCAGTAAAATGCACAGCAGAAGGCCAGCTCCTTAAGATTAGAATTAGCTGTAGAAGTCCCCTTCTTTACCCAATTGTTTTTGGTATCCACCCTCACCAAATCCTAGCACTTTAGAAATAAGGCTCAGGAGGCGATCTTTAAGTATAAAAGATTTTGTGTATTTTTCTAGCATTTTCCAAGGTGAAAAAGGGTCTGAGACAAAATGGAGTCTTTCAAAATGCGTGAGGAGGAGAAGGGAAGAAACAAAGGTGGAGCTTATCTAGCCCAGCAAAAACAAACTCCTCTGATTAGTTAGCATGCAAACAAACAAGCAAACAAGTTAGTCTGTGATGGAGGCCCTTCCTCCTGCATCTAGAAGTTTACATCAAGATTGCTAACTAGCCAACACGTCTCAACATGGTCCAAGCCATTGACACTTCCCAAAAGCCCAGATAAGAAACCCAAGCAGGGGTTTTGATTTCTGCAACTCGAAGTTTAACAACATGACCTCAGTCATGTTGTTAATCTACTTACTCTTCTGCTCTTGTGCCATACCTCAACACTTGGCTTATCATCATCACTGATTATTGGGTCCATCATTCCACAGGACTATACCAGAATTTTTTGCTCTTCAACAAGTCACATCACATCATCTTCAGACACTCACTAGCAGGAAATATCCAAGTTGCTTCAGAAGAATGCTATAGTACAGGCTCATACCACCCTCAAACATCTTGAGTTCTACTCTTGGTACTTTACAGTCCCCAAGAAAGACGGGGGTTTGTGCCCGATCCTTGACCTCAGGAACATCTGCTCCATTTACTTGACAAGTTTCTGTATCATGATCCTGTCAGCTATATTGCCATTATTGGAGGAGGAAGTTTGGTTCATGATGGTGGATCTCAAAGATGCTTATTTTCATATTTTGATTTGGCCAGATCACCACTGGTTCCTCAGCTTTATTCTGGAGGATCACATCTACAAGTTCCATATCCAACCATTTGATTTGGTGATGGCACCCAGGGCGTTCACCAAGTATGTAGCCCAGTAGCAGCCTTCCTCAGAATAAGGAGGGATGGTCATCATCCTATACATTGATTACTGACTGATTGTGGTAAAGTACAGGGAAAAGGTCCTAAGGGGTATGGAATTTAAATTGTGTCTGTTGGATATCAGTCTAAGGATGAACCTTGAAAAGTCACAATAACCCAAGATCATCTAGTATATTTGGGCAATGCTGAACTCCACAACCATCAGAGCTTGCTTACCCATGGACAGGATACAAATAATATTATTGATGATCACACCCTTGTGACTTCACCAACCCTGGTTTGCTACTCTGCTCACACTGGCAGTGGACAGTGTAGGGCTACTTCATTCACCAGATCTCCTGACTCAATGTGGCAAATGTCTTTGCAACCCAGATCATTTCTCTCTGTGACCCACAATATGGAGATTTCACCTTAGTTCAGGTCCTTTTGGTGACTAGAGAGCCACCATCAGTGTGGGCTTACACCTATAAATGGATCCAGTTTGTGAATGAGTGCCAAACACTGTCTTTCTACACCTCTAGAATGAGGCAATTCAGAAAGTCTTGTAGAAATTACATTATCAGGGTCAGCTTGTTTCCTTCTAATGCCTTTAAATGAATTGGGACTACCATTGGCTTGGTGTACCAGCTGACGGGAACATCACTTCCAGAGACCCTTTACAACCATTCCACAAGGACAGTTGTGACCTTTGCTGCATTTTTGAAAGGCATCCATCTGCCCCATATTTTTCAGGCCATCACGTGATCTCCACCACTGACATTCTTCCAGCACTACTATCTAGATCTGAGGGCTAAGCTGGATGCTTCATTCAGGACAGCTGTCTTTTCTTCCTTGCTGGCATGACTACGTTCTTGACCAGTAAGTGAGCCTGCTAATCAGTGAGTGAGTGATTCACAGAAACCAAGGTGAAGGACAGGTTATTTACCTGTAACTGTAGTACTTTGTGTAGTCGTCTGTGAATTCACACATTCCCTCCCACCTCCCCTCTACCTATCATGCTCTCCTTGAGTTTCAGTGATGGATGGTGAGGAACTGAAGAAGGACTGTTAGGAAGGATCATGCCTACTGAGGCAAAGGGGTGGGGTTTGGTGTCACTGAACTCTAGACATTTTTGAGGATTGTTGCACAGGAACAGATATCACCTTGCCTACAAAAGTCTGCATAGTCAAAGCTATGGCTTTTGTATGGAAGTGAAAGTTGGACCATAAAGAAGGCAGACCGTCGAAGAATTGATGCGTTTGAATTGTGGTGCTGGAGGAGACTCTTGAGAGTCCCTTGGACTGCAAGGAGAACAAACCTATCCATTTTGAAGGAAATCAACCCTAAGTATTCACTGGAAGGACAGGTCCTGAAGCGGAGGCTCCAATACTTTGGCCATCTGAGGAGAAGAGAAGACTCCCTGGAAAAGACCCTGATGCTGGGAAAGTGTGAAGGCAAGAGAAGAAGGGGAGGACAGAGGACGAAATGGTTGGACCGTGTCATCAAAGCTACCAACATGAATTTGACCCAACTCCCGGGAGGCAGTGGAAGATAGGAGGGCCTGGCGTGCTCTGATTCATGGAGTCGCAAAGAGTCAGACACGACTAAATGACTTAACAAAGCACAGACACAAAGACATCCCAATGTGTGAATTCACAGATGACAACTCAGAGAACTACAGTTACAGGCAACTAGACATTCTGTTAAAGTTTCATTTCTGTTGTTTCAGACAGTTGACAATGATATGTTTATATTTTTAGGTCAAAAGGAGTTATAGTGAATATTTCATCTCTTGCTGGGCTTCAGCCATCTCCATTCCTCACTCTTTATTCAGCAACCAAGGTATGCCTATTTCTCTCCCTCTCCCCCCCCCCTTTGTGTGTGGCTGTGTGTCTACTTTGATATATCATGTCAGAGATAGGAAGTATATAGCCTACGGGTGCATATTGTTGCTCAACTTTCAGAAGTGCTGATTTTTCTAAAAAGCAGATGGGAATCAGTGGCATACCTCTGAGCCAGGTTTTTGACCTTACAGTAGCAATTTAACATTCAGTTTATCTTATTTGGGAACTGTGTGATGTAGTGGATAGAATGTCAGACTAGGACTTATGCTGGCTCTTCTCCCAGGAGGCACAATGGGAAATCAAACCCTGACATTGCAGCCAGCTACTCAAACTCACTGAGCTATCCAGCCAGCTAATTAATGTAATGAAAAACCTTTATTAATTAATGTATTTAATTAATTACATTACACTTGATTTCTATTATCTGATAAAATGGCTATTTATGTTACAAAAAGTTTAAATGAAAAACAACTAATTAGCCAGCTTAGCTACATCCCTCTCTCTTGTAGGAGTGCTGCCCCAAACTGCCAGCCAGTCTGAAAATTAACCTTTGGCCCCTTTAAGCTTACTCATTTCTCTGCACTTTTAATGTACCATATTTTTCTGTGTATAAGATACTTTTGTCTAAAATCTTTAGATTAAAATTTGAGGGTCATCTTATACACAGAAGTAGGGACGGAGAAGGGATCAAAGCAAGTGGAGGTGGAAGGCAGGGATCAAAGCGCTTTCATTATTCCTGCTTTCCCCTTCTACTTTTTTGCCAAGAACGTGGAAGGGGAAAACAGGAATAATGAAAGCGCTTTGATCCCTGCCTTGCACCTCCACTTGCTAACCCCCACTTAGATTTCTTAATTTTGGGTTAGAAATTTTGGGGGGGGCTTTATACATGGGGGTGTCTTATACACAGAAAAATATGTAAATCTAGTCAAGAAATGCTGTGAAATATTTTCTAACATCTTTTTCCTTGCAGCTTATCTAATATCAAACTATTAGAAATATTATTTAGTCTTTTCTTAAAACCCACTGTTAGGATGGTTCACAATTTAGTATTACAGGGGTGAGCCTCAAGATTACTCATTCATTTTGTGTGATATGGTCACATGGAGTAAGTTGAAAAGTTCTTGCTTTAGTTTTAGATAAACCATTGCTTACTATTGTTACTCGGGACGTGGTGGCGCTGCAGGCTAAACCGCAGAAGCCTGTGCTGCAGGGGCAGAAGACCAAGCAGTCGTAAGATCGAATCCACGCGACGGAGTGAGTGCCCGTCGCTTGTCCCAGTTCCCGCCAACCTAGCGGTTCGAAAGCATGCAAATGCAAGTAGATAAATAGGGGCCACTTCGGTGGGAAGGTAACAGCGTTCTGTGTCTAAGTCGCACTGACCATGTGACCACGGACGATTGTCTTCGGACAAACGCTGGCTCTATGGCTTGGAAACGGGGATGAGCACCACCCCCTAGAGTCGAACACGACTGGACAAAAATTGTCATGGGGAACCTTTACCTTTACCTTTTACTATTGTTACTCAAACCTGCAGAGTGTCAATCTTCAATTATAGTTTCTTGAAACAAGCCAACTTTATGCCACAGTTTATGGAGCTGGCATGATTTGACTAACCCTGCTTAACCACAAGTTGGGCTTTTCAGCATATTAACTATGATTAATCTGAAACAGAAACAGTTGTTTTAAGTCTGAAAATTTATACCTCTTAAGACTTGTGGAATATGATGTAGTCTTGCATCATGGCATTTTCTTAGACATTTTTTCTCTACCTTATGTTTAAGGCTAAATAAAAGAATCACTTAAACTATGATTATGAATATGTTCACCAGATATTTGTTAAACTTTAGCAAGCATATAATTCTGAAAATGTTATAGAACAGGGGTCCCCAATCCCCGGTCCGTGGCTGGGCCGGACCAGGTCATGGAGACAGATCCCCCCCTGCATGCACTCCCCACACACAGCGCCCGCACGAGCGCCCCCTGCCCTTTGCGCATGTGTGCATAAACCCCTGAATGCCTCCTTGCCCTTTGTGCACACATGTGCGCTTCCCTGCCATTTGTGCATGTGCATGAGCACACACACACCCTTTGCATGAGCGCGGGGGTGCCCTGCCTTCCCCAACCAGTCTGTGCTGTTAAAAAGCTTGGGGACCACTGTTATAGAACATATAGCTAGGGCATACAAACTACCATTCTGACAGACCATGATAGTACCAGGCTCTTTTTTTAGTTCACTTTATACAGTTTTTTTCTACCACTAAAGGCTATATTTATAGGATATGAAATTTAGCCTTTTTCACTAACTTAACATCTGTGAAACGTACAGTATATGTGCACCTAAATTTAGTCCATTCATAACACAATATTGCTTTTACATTTCTTTAGGCTTTTGTGAATTTCTTTTCTCATGGAATCAATATGGAATACAAACATAAGGGTGTTATTGTGCAGGTAAGTGAGATTGCTCCTTTATGATATTTCACTATAATATTGTATAAATAACCTGACAACATAGAGGGTATCTCTTAAAAGACTATTAACAAAACATGACAGCTTCAAAGCTGATACATCAGGGAGCAGGCACTGGAAACAGGACTTTTTGACTAGTGATGCCTACCTTGTAGAATGGCATCACTAAATAAATTTGTTTGTTTAAATATTTGGCTAGAACATGGTAATTCAGAAAGTTCAGATGAAGCACTTTTTTATTTGATTTGTCTTATTGCTGATTCTGTATGACTAATTTGATATACTCTTTCTGCTTTCTTTTAACCTTTTAACTTAATATTGGATGTGTTTTTGAAAATTATATAACCTTCTTTAACAAAAATCCTATTGCATTCTTCTGTACATGTAAGGGCATTTTTTACTTTAGACATTTTTGGGCTGCCTGTCATGGACCCAGGCTCATGATGCATTGTGCAGTTGGGGAAGATTAGGCATTCAACAAACAGCCCAGAAAACAGGCCACTTAGCTTGTATAGCCACCTTTATGAAATCATGTCAGGCAGTGTATTTAAATTAAGGAAAGCAGAATGGAAATTGTTACAATAAAAAAAAATCATTTTAGGGAGAGATGTCTAGTGTTGTGTTAATATAGCTTTTGGTGCAATTCATTTTTAAAAAGTACTAGCAATATGTTATACAAGTGCTGTGAACTGTGTTATCTCTAAGGCTTAGAAATGATTCTGTGCACTGATCATAAGGTACTTTAAATTTAGATACACATCCATATATGATATAAAAGGCAATAAGTAAAGTCATGTTTACAATGTATTGAATAATTCACTAATAATAATTTCCGAAAGTAAGGGTCCTAGACAGAAGATCAGAATATAATGTTTTTCTTTGTGGTCTCTGTGACTTGCACACAGGGGTTGTTCCACATCTGCAGAACAGCTAGGGCTCAAGATTGACCTCTTAGTACTCCCCTAGAGCAGTGGTCCCCAACCTTGGGCCTCCAGATGTTCTTGGACTTCAACTCCCAGAAATCCTGGACAGCAGAGGTGATGGTGAAGGCTTCTGGGAGTTGTAGTCCAAGAACATCTGGAGGCCCAAGGTTGGGGACCACTGCCCTAGAGCACATGATAAAGTGTGGCTCCTGCCCTTTCTTTTCAGTTGTTTTTCATTTGCTGTGCTTGCAGCATGTTTGTAACTTTGGCTTGTTTTAGCTTTTTGCCACCTTTTCACTACATTTGAATTTTTGCCTTGACCTCTTGGCACCTTGCCTGAAATTTTCCCTTGGGCTTCGGTATCTCAATTCTGAATGTTCAAATTTTTGACTTGGATCTCTTGACTCTTCTGTCCATCTGTAAGTTATCTTCAATATTGTCATTTCTTGACCTCAGATGTTTAAGAAGTGCATAGATTTTGGTAGCAAGATCCCACATATGGAGAGGCACTTTTGCTGCTTCTTTTCTCTTGATGAATACCATGTCATTGAAAAGTGCCAGTATTGGCAGCATCTGTTCAAGCCCAACCTCCATAACAGAGAGCTTTGGTTACAGGCCCTACCATGGGAGAAAGCCCTTCATACTTCCAACTAAGTACCACACATCTGGCTGCAGCATTGACTAGTGTTAATCCAAGGTTTCTGTTAATACACCAACTTGGATTATTGGAACTGACAACATTTGACTTGCTCTGCTCCTGTTGGCTCTCTCTCTTTTTATCTCCCACTGTATGGGTTCAAACAAGCACCAGTACTCATTACTGACAGCATTTACTTCCACCTCAGTGCCAGCTCTGATGTCATACTTTGAATGTACAGTAAGCTGTTTTGTTCCACCAAATGTCCACCAAAACACAAGGCACCTTCTCTCCTTGCTTCTCCTAAGAAGAAAACAATTAAATAGAGGGCAAATAGCTACTTTGGCTCCTCCTAAGGACCTCAGAGACCAGACTGCAACAGTGGTTACAACCTTGCCACTCAGCCTTCCCATGTTGTTGCTGTCCTCTGTATCTACGGCAGCTCCATTCCTGTCTGCTGCCTCTTGTTTACCTCCCCTGTATGGGAGACATTTGAACAAGAGGCAGTACCAAATACCGTACAAAGGACAAGCTGATGATGACCACTGTGTAGCCTCCTTTTCAGAAGTGGATGTGCTTCCCATTTTTCAGACATACAAAGATTGCTTCTGTTTTCAGTCACCCAAGAGTTTGCAGCCACAAAGCTAGAGCTGTTCTTGGGGCTAAGATCCCTCTTGGATTATTTGCCATCTAATCCTACTCCCTTATTCAAGGTGGTTCTCCATTTGCACTTAATTTCAGCACATCCGCCTTGCGGGGTTGACTTCAATATCAGATACCATCCTTCTAGACTTCCACAGCTACTGACTATACGGACAATACCCAAAGCTTACTCTCCTATACTTTTTGCTGGTGATTCCCATTCTTACCATTTCTTCTGATGCTGGTGAAGCTGGTGATGGTGCTGCCTCTTTCACCATCACTGCAACTCCAGTTTTCCCCAGATACTTTAGTTGGGGACCAAATTCCACTCTCCCAGTCTGAAGATGTTGTCTCCCATGCAAACCAGGTTTGTCATATGGTCTTTTTACAAGAACTAGAGATCAGAACTTGCCTCCAATCGTATGTCCAAGTAAGTTCAGTTGTGAACATCGCCTGCAGTTACTATTCTGGTCTTACCCTTCCCTCTTGCACATCACCCATTATGCCATTGATTCCCATCATTCCCTCTCAAATATCAGTAAAATGCTATTTTAGGACATAAGTCTTAAATTTAAATTTAATATTTCACTTATTTCTTTAGAAAACAACTTTCACAATTTAAATGGATAGTCACATTCCTATCACATATGGAAGTAGGTTCCAACTTCTTGCTCACATCTCCAACTCATCTTGGAATATTTTTACCCATATAATTCAATTTCACTTGTTTTAAGTGAAACCAATTTATAAAAAATGTTCTTTTATTCTTACAGACACACATTTTAGAATTCTTTTATTCCACAAATTCTTCCACTTCTCAGTACTTACTTCCACTCCCAAATCTGTTTCCCATAGCATCTTGCTGATCCTCTACTTCTATTAATATTTTGTAAATTTTACTTATCATCCACTTCATTTTTATTCCCATTTTCATTTTAATTCTGTACTACAATTTCTTCAAATTTTGTAAGCTCCCTGCATTCACCATTTCTTCTCACCCATTCACTAGTCCAACACTCCAGTTGAATAACATTAAACCATAACAACTTTTCCATTCCTACCACTTATATTATTTGCTCTTTAATACCCATCTTCTTAAAGGAACATATTGAATTCAGATTTCATCTGATCTTGATGTCAAAGCTATTCAGTGCTGTGTCCGTTTTAGTTCAGTTGTCATTCAAAGAAGTATTCTTTAGTGCCACCCAGCGCTGTAGCTCAGCAGTGCAACTTTAAGACATGAAGCTAAATCCAACAAGTAAAACATCTCTTTCCTCCTTTGCATCCCTCTATGCTGCTCAAGAACTAGTCTAGGAGGGGTTTTTGCCACCCCAACTAAGACTGCATGTGATATTGTGATTAAGTTTTTGCCTTCTCCTTATTATGTTGGACTGTGCCCATCTGCTAATAGTCTACCAGTAGATCCTACCCATAAGCTGCATACATTATCTTAAGACTGAAATCCTAGCTGAGTGATCCACAGCCCATAAAATGCTTCATCTACTGGTAACTATGGTTATTTTCTGGGTTTTATCTCATTATAAGCAGCCTCTGCCATTGTCAGCACCCAACAAGAATTTTTAAAAAAGAATATAACTGTTTTGTTTAATTAATTTAAGTGTCTTGTACATTACAGCTGTTTACAGCTTCTGCTGAAGTAGACAGGGTCTACAAAAGCCTGTGCCATCGTAAAAATGTATTAGTCTAAGGAGTCATAGAATTTTCTTGTTTTGCTGCAACAGACTAAAATGACAACAACGTATGGAAGCCATCTAAATGATTTTTCTGGAGGAAAGCCTAAGTGATTATGCTTTAGCTATACAAGTAATCAAATTTCCTGTTTACAGTAAGCCTACAAAACTTTAAAATCCAGAGCAGAAGCCTCAGTATCCCATGCTATGGTAAACTAAAGACTGTTAAGCATGTTATCTATTTCATCCTATCCCCCACCTGCCTTGCTGCTCTGGAGCTGCCAGGGAGAGCAAGATGCAGAATCCATGGGCAAATGTCTTATCCAGCAGGAGTCCCATTCTAGTAAGTAATCTGATACAAGTTCTCTAGTGGCCTGTTTGGCAGAAGACAGCAGCTTTTTGGGATGAAACAATGGCTGAGATGAGAATCAGTAGTTGTAGTTGTAGTAACTTTAGTGGAGTAACTAATGTTATTTACCAAAGCCTGAATTATTTGATAAACAACTTTGCAATTGATGTAAAATCAGTATAAAAAGGTTGACATGAACAATAAATTGATAATTTGGATGTGAAACATTTAATTATCCATAGCAGAAACTGGTTACAAAAGTGATCATTGGCACAGTCGCTTGATATATCAAGTGTCCTTAGTAGCAATTTATTAAAAAAGGGGAATCCATGTCATTTCTTTTTCAGAGCATTCTACCATATTTTGTGGTCACAAAATTGTCTAAGCTTCGTAGAACAAGCACTTTTAGACCTAAACCTGAATGGTTTGTAAAGTATGCCCTTACTGCGGTTGTCCTTGAAGCCCAAACTGCTGGATGCCCAACTCATGATTTTATGGTATGTATTATTTAAAGCTGATTATTCTTATTATACACAGTATCTGAAGAAAGAAAACTTTTTAAAAAAATATTCTGAGTTGTACTGATTTCACTCTCAGTGAACTATTTCACTGTAATAGTTTCACTCTGAGTATCTACAGCAAGGATGGGCATCATTCAGCCCACAGGCTGTATGCAGTCTGCAAGCTAGTTTTTAGGTCTCCCCAAAAGGCACCTCCATATTTCTAAAAATGGTTGAAAATGAGTGGCATGACTACATAGCCACTTTTCAGCTTTGTGCTGGCTACTTCATACTTATTTAAAGTTATTTAGTAAACAAGCATTATTTACTGCTTTCCTTTTTGTGAATAATTGTGGTTCCAGGCTTTAATTAACTGAGGTCATCTTCAAGAGGAGTAACTGCTTCCTGGGATATGACTTCTTTCCATCTTAATTGGCAACTCTTTGTAATTCGTTATTACATGTTTCAGTGATTAGGAATAGTTTAGGCAGCAGAAAACTACAATGCTGTGATTTTGTGATGTCTAAAAACTACAATGCTGTGATTCTGTGATGTCTAAACAGTCCCTAACCTTCAAGCTGTAATAAGAAATTAGAAGCCTACAATTAACAGGGAAGGAAGTCAGAAAGCAAAAACATCAATTACAAACTTCCTGATACAGTTAAGGTACAGAACCAAAACTTTGCACCAAAAAGAAAACAGTAAACAATGTATACTTGCTTAACAATGTAAAATATGCTACAATAAACAAAAAGTAGACAATGTAAAGTCAGGAAAGCTGCAGGAAAGGTCCTGCAGGAATGAATTGCAGTTTTTGGAGAGGAGAGATGCAGCCAAATTGAAAATTGGCCTTTGCCTCCCTGAGATTACTCACTTCCTGGTACACAGAAATGATCCAATAGATACTGGATTTCCAAAGGGCTTTGACAAATCCACTCATTCCAAAACAAATGTAGAGTCATGGGATAGGAGAAATCCTGTTATGGACTGGGAAATGGCTAAAGAATGGAAAGCAAAAGGTAGGACAAAATGGCCAGTTCCTACAGTGCAAATATATGGGTAGTGGGATCCCCAGGGATCTGTATTGGTATTGATGCTGCTTAACTTGCTCATAAATTATCTGGAGTTAAGATGGCCAGGTTTGCTGATGCCACTGAAATATTTTGGGTGGTTAGAAACTGAATGGTTTGTGAAGAACTCCAAGATAATATATTATTTCTGGAGGAATGTGTATTAAGATGACAAATTAGGCTAACAGTATAAACAAGTGTAGAGAGAGGTGGATTAGGGCAACCAAACAAACAAAGAAGAAAAAAACCACCAGAGTTCCTGTGGTGTTTCTGAGGAAATAGATTGCAATTCACAAAACCTTACACAAAAATAAATCTGTTAGTATTAAGGGTCCCAGCTGGCTGGATAGCTCAGTGGTTTAGGTATCTGGCTGCCATGCCAGAACTTGATTCTCCACTCTGCCTCCTGGGAGAAAAGCCAGTGTGTGTGGCCTTGGGCAAGCTGTACAATCCCAGGATGTCCTCAGAAGAAGGGAACGATAAACTACTTCTGACTATTCTCTACCTGGAAACCCTAAGAAGGTCATTATAAGTCAGAATTGACCTGATCACATCTGTTTATTATTATTATTAAAGGTGCTATTGTACTTTGGTTTTTGTTTCATTTTTGTTATATGTGCTGAAATTAAATAATATGGCTGCCTCTTTAAGGAAAAAATTCTGTGTACACTGATGGAATCGGATACCTGGTTCATATCACTACTTAGCCATGGAAACGCTTGGTGAGGGACAGGGTTGGCAATAACAGTAAACCATTACTTGAACTTGTGACATGTTCAAAAATCCTGTTAGGGTTGCTGTAAATTGCAAGTGACTTGATGGCACATAACACACATCAGAAGCAATATGGTTGTTGGGAAATATGATCAGAAGGGTGCTGTTAGCACTTGTGTCTAGTGGTTAACAGGGCTGGCCATCAAATGAACAGAAATGCTGGATTAAATTGGTTTTGGTGTGATACTATATGACTTTTGGTACATTAATCAGCACATTGAAAGTTTGTTTTCTAATTACCCTGACAAATTTCTCTTTCATTTTTTAGGCCTGGCTTACCAAGATTCTTCCCCAATGGTACACTGCAAAGGTTGGGGTAGAGTCTACAAGCCGTCCCTCTTACCTCCTTAAGGGACGGCTCTTTCAAAAGGGCCCCCTGGCTAGATCTTAACTGCCGGGTAGGTTCATATGGAAGGAGGCGGTCCTTCAGGTATCCAGGGCCCAAGCCGTTTAATGGTACATTAATCAGCACATTGAAAGTTTGTTTTCTAATTACCCTGACAAATTTCTCTTTCATTTTTTAGGCCTGGCTTACCAAGATTCTTCCCCAATGGTACACTGCAAAGGTTGGGGTAGAGACAGCCTTAAAAGCAAGAGCTCACTACATTAAAAAGTTGAAAGAAAACTAAGCTGCTTTATCTTTAGGAGAACAATTTTCTGTCTAAATTCAAACATCAAATACATTCTTCTGTCTTCAAGTGGGATGGATGGAGGAAATGGACCAAAAGTCAGTATGAACCAAGGGAAACCTTAGTGAAAGATATAGAAAAAACAATGAACAACTTGTAATTTTGCTTGTTCTTCTGTATAATTTAGAGTACAGTATGTTAGGTGTAATTTAAAATTGGAATTCCTGATAACTAATTTTACTGAAATGTATTTAATCCCAGTATGGATTTTGTCAGTGTAAAGAATTTGGTTAAATCGATGCAGAACATGGTTGGGGATTACAACACAACATTGTCAGTATTGGTCTATATAGTGGCTGAAATCCTTTTGCATAGTTATATCTATGTAACTTGGAGTTGTGGAAGCAGTAACTAAATTTGTGCCAGGGCACAAGTAATATCTAACAAGCAGGACTGCAGTTAGTTGCACTGTGAAATGCATGATCAAGCACACAATGCAGGTTGCTTGGGTGTAATAGAATAGAATACCAAGTGCAATAGAACTTCAGCCATTATTTTCTTAACTAAAAACCTATTGTCACTTAATTTTGCATTGTAAAACATTACAAAGCTTTCTTATTTTATATGTTAGTCATCAGATATTTATCAGCTTAAACCTCTATCGTGTTTGAAACTCATAATCATCTGGCACTCATGTGAATGAATGTCTACATGAGTGGACCATTTAGTGGCTTAGGGTGACAAGAGGAAGACAGTGATCAGAATCCATTGATGTCAAATAAAGGTGAATGCGGACAGGTTTCTTTCTAGTCAGTCATCCTAGTACCCACTACCACATGGTATTTTGGAGTACTCTTTCAAGACTGCAAATTTCAAACTACTGCAATCTACATTCCCTAATAAAGAGGTTCAATTTGATGGCTACATAGATTTCATACACTGATAACAGGCTATTGCTTTCTATTACTAATTAGAATCTTCATGGTAAAATGCTGCCAAGGCAGGCTATATTAAAATGTTGGAGTACAAATACTATAGTACTAGTAGTTAACAATGCAATTATCCATGTACGTCATGATTATACTATTAAATACCTGAGGATTGGATGCAAAGATGTACAAGAAGGCTCTCCTGCACCACTGCTCCTAAGGGACGGTATGGTTTGAGATGTGGTGCAGAAGACTGGTACAAAAAGATTAATCTGTAGAAAGGAGGGGAACAACTTGTGCAAGCAGGAATAAGCTCTTGTGCAAGAACACTGTTGGCTCCAAGCCTATTTTAATACATGAAATTCCATGTTTGAAAATTCTTTAACACAGAGGCCCCCAACCCCTGGTCCGCGGCCCAGTGCCGGTCCATGGCCTGAGCTGGACCGGGCCACAGAGACAGATCTCCCCCGCACACCTGATTTGCGCATGCATGCATGCTCCAGCGCACCTGTCCGGGCACCACACCGCTGTTTGCACTTGCGCATGGGGGGTGCCCCGCCTTCCCCAGCTGATCCGCGGGGTGAAAAACCTTGGGGACATACGTATTATTTATAGATTTAGTGAAATAAACAGTTCCATAGTTGAGACCAAATTAAGAAATTTTTTTTGTCTGTCTTTACATTACAAATCAAGATTTTATTTTGTGCATCCCATTGTTTCCACTGCTCAGGCAAAGCCAAATGTGAGGGTTTTGTTCAAATAAAATGAGGATGCTTCCATTCTTTGTTGAAAACAAATTAATTTGTCAGCAGTTTATGTATGAAACAATCACTCTTTAGTTAGGGCATTTATTGATACTAGAAATTTCATAATCTCAATTCCTTATACTTCCATTGGAAGAATAATTTATGGCTGGGATTTGAAAGTAAATGTGCACTTAAACGCTGTTGTACATAGAAAATAAATGAAAACCGATACAGTGGTGCTGATCAGGAATGAGAAAAAAGTTTTGTTCCAGAATGTGTTTGGATTTTTAGTTGAAAATTACCAGAAATCAGGTGCATTTTAGGTTTATAAGGCTAAATGTTATGACTGGAAGTAGGGAAGGGATATCTGAAATTGCTGGCATGTCTGTGAAACTGAGTGCTTTTTTTCTAACATATTCTGTAAAACATTAAATCAGATTATCTTTATATGTTTATCACCTTTGTTATGTTTTATTTTCACATGACCAATTTATTATACCAGGATATAAAATACTTCCATGTCTTTTAGTCATTAAACAAAGCTGTAGCTAGTGTGTATTTTAATTGATAAGTGAATACTTTGGAGAAATATGAACATACTTCTTATTACTGTGTAAAATTAAAACATTCAGATAGTCTGTGAAACAGGCCAGTCACTTATGCAACAAGGACTCAAGCTGGCAAACTTGAAAAAAAAATCATTGCAGATTTTTACTGAATCTTTGTATTGTTTGTTGTTTATGGGATTTTTTTTGTCAAGTACAAATTATTCTCTCCTCTTCCTCTCCAAGTTGCCCCTTTCTGGAACAGTCCTATCTTAACAATTAATTTCTTTATGTACTGACTTTATCCCTATATAATGGACTCGAGGAGGTTTACAACTTTCAATAATTAAAAAATTATTAACCAAAAAGAATTAAAACCTATTAATGTATACAGTAGTGCCTCGACTTACGAACACCCCTACCTACATCTATTTCGAGTTACAACCAGCTCCAGCCGCAAATTTTGCTTCTACTTGCGAGCGGAGCTTCTACTTACAAAAAGAAAAGGCAGAGAAAAAAGGCAGGAAATTCAAATTTCTAACTAGGTGGTGACAAGGCTGTTTCTTTGTAGCTTTTTCGCCCCAGGAGTTAGAGAGTGTGTGTGTCAACGTTGGAGGTTTGGGACTGCTTCCGAGAGCGTGTGTGTGTGTTTGCAGGGAGGCTTCGGGTTGCCTTGTTTTCTGCTTTTTAAAAACTGTTCTGGGTGTTTTTGCAGCATGGTTTTGAGCTAGGGGGGTTACGTTTCTGTGCTGTGATGGGTCTTGGGGGGTTTGTTTGTTGGTTGTTTTTTCCCCCATTTCCGATGGGTCTTGGGGAGTTTGGTTGCTTTTTGGATATTTTCCCCATTTCCAATGGGTCTTGGGGGGTTTCCTTGCTTTTTGGATTCCCCCCCCATTTCCGATGGGTCTTAGGGAGTTTGTTTGCTTTTTAGTGTCCCCCCCATTTCCGATCTTGCGCGATCTGCTTGATTGCTTTTTGCTTTGTCTTGTTTGCATTTGCAATGGGTCTTGCATGGTTGATTGGTTTTTGGTTTATTTCCTTTGCATTAGGTCTTGCACGCTTGATTACTTTTTGCTTTTTCTTGTTTGCATTTGCAATGGGTCTCGCACGGTTGATTGCTGCCCCCCTTTTTGGGGGGGCTGGAAGGGATTAATCGCATTTCCGACTGGTCTTGCAGTGATTTTTTTTTTGGTGATTTTTTTCTTTGGCCAGAACAGATTAATTGCATTTTAGTGCATTCCAGTGGGAAATGGTGGTTTGACTTATGACCATTTTGAGTTACAACCATCTTCCTGAACCAATTAAGTTCGTAAATCGAGGCACCACTGTATATAAATATCAAAATGAATACCACATCCTATCCAATGAAATATTTGAATGTAAATGACAAACAGCTTGTTAAAAATGAATGTTTTTACCTGCTAGTGGAAGAATAGTAAGGAAGGGGCCAAATGAACCTCCCAAAGAAGAGCATTCCATAGTCTTGGAGCGGCTACTGAAAAAGCCCCCTTTATTGTTCTTACTAGATGAACCTGTGAAAATGGTGGAATTGAAAGAAGGGCCTCCACTGGTAATCTTGGCATTTGTGGGGGCCTGTGTGGAGAGATAATGGTTTTTCAGACAGACCTGAACCTAAGTGTGAGCAAGGAGATGAGGGGAACCCAACTCCCATCCATGCATCATTCCCTCTACCATGGAAAATGGAGGGCCAGGCTGTGAAACAAAAACTGGAGGACATGGAGGGGGGGAGGGAGAGAAAGACAACAGAGAAGAAAGAGACAATCCAATTGCAGGAAGGGAGAAGATGAGAGAGAAGGGGGAAACTCAGGATGAGGATATACTGTAAGGTGAGATGAAAGGGCCAGAGGAACAGAGAGTAAAAAGAAGAAAAAAGTCCTACAGAAGGGTGGAAACGGATAGAATTGGAAAGCCCCTGGATTGGGGAGTGGGAGAAGTTGAGGGTGCCCAGGGAAGAGGAGAGAAAAGGTACCCCAAAAACCCTCATATTGTGGGGGGAGGAAAAAAGAGATGAAAGAGAACAAAACCTGACCTCAGAGCGGGCAGTGAAACGTGACTGGAAGGATGGCGGCAGAGATCCCTTCTCAGCGAGAGATTTATTCCAAACAAAAGACCAGAAGGCTTGGGAGGACCATGGAGGATCGCAGAAGTTAAAAAGTCAGGGGGGGGGGATCCATGCTAATGTTGCCACTGGGGTCCACACCAGAAATAAAGCTTGAAGAGAAAGACCCTTGGGCTGATGAAGGAGAACAGACCCCTAAGATTAACAAAAGTTCCTGCAATTCCTCTCCAAGGTTGGAGATGAAGAAACCATAACTGTTGAAATTATGCTGGTTGCCACTCTTGGGTCTCCATTAATAAATGTTGATGGCTTGAAGCAAGAAGATAGCTTCTGAGTAGCTTTGTTGGAGATGGAACGAGGGGGTTACCCAAGAACCTTCATGCCTAGCCATATCTTTAGAAATCAAAAAACAGCTATTTGAATTTGGCCCAGAAACAAACCATGAGCCAGTGTGGTTTCTGTAACAGAGGAATTATAAATCACCTGCGTCCAGTTCTAGTTGAGAATCTGCCATAAGGATTTTGCATCATTTGTAGTTTCCAAACCATTTTCAAAGGCAATCCCAAATAGAGCGTGTCATTTATTGTTGTTAGGTGTCATCAAGTTGCCTCTGACTTATGGTGACCCTATGAATTAGTGATCTCCAAAATGTCCCGTCTGCAACAGTCCTGCTCAGGCCTTGTAAACTCAAAGCTGTGTCTTTCTTCAGGGAGTTGATCCATCTCGTATTTGGTCTACCTCTTTTCCTTCAAAAATAAAAGAGCATTACAGTGGTGCCTTGAGTTGCAAACTTAATTCGTTCCAGATGATGGTTGTAACTCAAGTTGGTTGTAACTCAAAACACCATTTCCCATAGGAATACATTGAAAGCGAATAATCCATCCCAGCCATTTCTCTCAAGGGGCTTGTTGTACCTCAAAGCATTACTTCCCATAGGAACTAATGCAAAAGCAGTTAATCCATCCACTACCACTAGAGGGAGACTTTTTTAAACCTAAGATGACCTCTAAGGTTAAAAAAAAAAGGACAGGGAGGGAACAACTGGGAAAAGAGGCCTTTTTTCCAGTTGTATCTCAAAAGCGCTAGTTGCAGGTCAAAGCAAAATGTTGCGACCAGAGTTGGTTGTAACTCAAATTGGTTGAAAGTCAAGATGGTTGTAAGTTGAGGCACCACTGTATTGTCTTTTCCAGAGAATCTTGTCTTTTCATGATGTGCCCAAAGTATGACAGCCTCAGTTTTGTCATTTTTGCTTCCAGAGTAAGTTCCGGCTTCATTTGATCCCGCTTGTTCATCTTTTTGTGGTCCAGGATATCCACAAATATACACAAAATATTTAATATTTTAGTGTCCTCATTGTCAATGTTAGAGTTGTGTAGTTCTTCTGTAGTCATGCTTTTTGTCTTAATATTCAACTGCACTTCTGATTATGCACTTTTTTCTTTCAGTTCCATCAGAATTCTTGAAGTCATTGCTGGTTTCTGACAGTAATATGGTGTGATCTATGTAGCTGAAATTACTGATGTGTCTTTCATGAATTTTCTCTCCATCTGAATTTAATCCAGCTTTCCATATGATATGTTCTGCACCAGTGTTACAAAGTTCTAGTGTTCTGAGATTATTGTTCAAGTATCATTCATTTGACACTACAGTATACAGCAGTGGTCCCCAACCTTGGGCCTCCAGATGTTCTTAGACTGCACCTCCAGAAGCCTTCACAACCATCTCTGCTGACCAAGATTTCTGTGAGTTGAAGTCCAAGAACATCTGGAGGCCCAAGGTTGGGGACCACTGCTATACAGCATTATAACTGCTCTGAGGAACCTGTGGCCTTCCAGATGTTAGAAGTCTATCAGCCTCAGCTATCTTGGTCAGCTGTGATGTTTGACAAGAGTAATAGTTCATAATTACCCGAGTATCCACATGTTTTCATCTTTACATAAAAAGGCTTTGGTTTGGAATTATCAGTTCACTGGAAGGACGGATCTTGAAGCTGAGGCTCCAATACTTTGGCCATCTCATGAGAAGAAAAGACCCTGATGTTGGGAAAGTGTGAAGGCAAGAGGAGAAGGGGACAACAGAGGATGAGATAGTTGGACAGTGTCATCAAAGCTACCAACATGAATTTATTTATTTATTTATTTATTTATTTATTTATTAAATTTATACCCCACCCCTCTAGACCATGTCTCCGGGAGGCAGTGGAAGACAGGAGGGCCTGGTGTGCTCTGGTCCATGGGGTTTCGAAGAGTTGGATACGACTTAACGACTAAACAACAATCAGTTCTGAATCTTAATACTTTGTTGCTCTACAGCAGGACTTGTAGATTTAGAAGGGAGGTATCCTTTCCCTTTTCTCCATTCATGCATCCCTCCAAGCAGTGTAAGGGGACCATTAAGCCCACTGCACATTCCTCTACCCAGTGATATATAGTAACTTGGGGCTATCCACATTTTTTCTTTTCTGAAACCGCCATGTACATTGTACACAGGTGCATACAGCATGCTATACCTATCAGCCACAAGATTAAAACCACTGACAGCTGAAATGAATAGCATTGATTATATTACAATTGGACTTGTCAAGGGGCGGGATATATTAAACAGCAAATGAACAGTTGGTGCTTCAATTTCATGTGTTAGTAGCAGGAAATATGGGCAAGCAAAATGATTGGGTGACTGGCAAGGTCCAAATAGAAAAGGCTAGATGACTGGGTCAGAATATCTGCAAAATGGTGAGTCTTGTGGAGTGTTCTGGTATGCAGTGGTTAGTACTGACTGAAAGTGGTGCAAGAAAACCACCAGTGAACTGGCTTCATTCAGTGTTGCGAGTACCCAAGGCTCACTGATGCACATGGGGACCAGAAGCTAGCCCACCTCATCTGATCACACAGAAGGCCTACTACAGCTCAGATTGCTGGAAAATGTAATGCTGGCCACGATAGAAAGGTGTCAGAACACACACTGCAATTGATCAGAGTGCCCTGTCCATTGCTGAAAGTGCCTAGAATGTGGACATGAGCTTCAAAACTGGACCATGGACCAAAGGAAAAAGGTTGCCTGATCTGATTAATCACGTTTTCTTTTAGATCAGGTGGATGGCTGGGTGCAGGTGTATCATTTACCTGGGGAAGAGATGGCAGCAGGATGCACTATGGAAAGAAGGCTGGCCGGTGGAGGCAGTGTTATGCTCTGGGCAACATTCTGCTGGGAAACCTTGGGCTCGGGCATTTATGGGGATGTTACTTTGATACATACTGCCTACCTAGAGACTGTTGCAGACCACATACACCCCTACATAGCAATTGCATTCCCTGATGGCCACAGAAGCCCCACCTTCCCCTCAGAGGTCTTATGGAGTCCATGCCTCGACAGAACTGGTTTGACAACATGAGAGGGACCTATAGTACATGGTATTAGGCAGGTAGTTTTAATGTTGAACCTGATCAGTGTGTGTCTTACTCTGAGCCACATTCCAAATTCTAACAGACTTCCTGTGTTCTGTAAAAGCTCAGAATCCTTACCTGCAGCTCCAGATTTCAAGAATTTGCTTTTTCCATTGTTTGTGTCCCCAGTAAAATGCTGAATATAGTTTCTTTAAGGGCTATCCAAAGAGCTGAGTGTTTCTTTGGCCTTCCCAATGAAATAAGTATTTGTACAAGGAGACATCCCTTGACTCTGAAACCCCCACCCCCCTTTTTGCTGTAACCTGTTGGGGATCTAAGCAGGCCACATGTTTCTCCTGGTGCTACCTGAAGCAGGCTGTGAAATCTACCAAATGAAACGGACTCATTTGACAGCTTCTGCCCTCTCGGTGCCCTTCCCAAGTTGTAGTTAAAGTAGAGCTGTTTGAATAATAGAACTTACAGAGAAGTTGACTCACTAAATCTGATTCATTCGGTGGCCCCACTGTATTATTAGTATTAGTAGTATTAGTATTAATGGCCCCACTGTATTACTAGTATTATTAGTATTAGTATGCCACGTTTCTCCCAACAAGGGACCCAGTAGCGTGATTTTGGCCAACAAATATTCCCAACGTTTTGAGGCTTCAACATCCTTGTCGGTTCCACTAGTAATGAGCCTTAGTGAAAACTTGGCGGCAGCCGGACTTAACTTCTGCAACGCAACCATAGGATTTTAAAGCAGCCATTGAAAGTGACTGACCACTGGGCGACAACGCCAGCCAGGCACAGTTCCCAAGACCTGAGATGTTGAACTTGTCCGTGAGCCTCTCAGGAGCCATTCCTCCCACACAGTACTACCAGCCGCTAGCTGGGGTTCCCGTGTAGAAGGGCACGATCCTCTCCCACGCCCTACCTTCCCGGGGTCCCCCCCTCTGGCTACTGTGGAAGGAGCGATGCAGCGACGCTCCCTCCCTGCTCGATGGAACTTGACGTCTATTTGATGACTGAACTCGCCCCGCCCCCCCCCCGCGAAGTCCTCGGCGCTCTCTTCGCCTTCCAATGGGTAGTAGGCAGAGCTGGGAGAGGCGGGCATGGCGGTGGGCGGGACGGGTGTGGACATTTGGGCCAATGGCGACTTTGGCGGGAGGGTTTGCCGGGGAGGCGGCTTGCTTTGTCCTTTCCGATTCGTCCTGAGAGCGGGAAGGGGTGTGTGTCTCAAGGTGCGCGCGCAGCGGAGAGGCGGCTCGCCTTCGTTCGTCGTCTCCGTTTGGAAGGCCCGGCTGTGTGTTTTGGGCCTGGTGAGCGGCCTGGCTTTTCTCCTCAGAGAGAGAAAGAGACGAGGAAAAGGGCGGAGAGCAACGGGAGGCCGAGCCGGAGCAGTTTCGAGAGGCTCAGGGGCGGTGGGTGGGCAAATAAACCCCTTCCTTGGAGTTCACTCGGAAGTTGTAAACGAGGGGGGGGGCTGTTAAAGAAAGGAATAAGAGGGTGGGAGGGAGCTGTGGGCAAGACTGGCGGAGGTGGTCGCTTTCCTTTCCTCCGCTTAAGGGAGAAACCGGCTCTGTTTCAGTGCCTTCCCCCTCTTCAGCCCTGCAGTGAAAGTGCTGCTCCTGTTTTTTTTAGTAAGCGATCTGCCCTCAAGTCGGAACCGAGTTATCGTGACCGTAATAGGGCTTCCAAGGTGAGTGAAATATTTAAGGAGTGTTTTTACCAGTTGCACTCTGATCCGGTGAATTTTGCATGGCCGAGGGGGCCCTTGACACCTGGTCTCCAGAGTCCTAGCCCGCCACCACACTGGGCGTTTAGAGGATATGGAAATAAATCATTCTGATGTTCTTGGGATTGCCTCCTGATCAGCTGGGCATAGGATTTGCAGCCTTGATTATGTGTCCCCTTTTAGAGAGCTTGGCTCTGGGGAGCTGCGTCTTTGTTGGTCACTCCCATAGCGTTGCAGATAAAATGTTCGTATCCTGTCGCTGAGAGTGAAGTGGGTTGGTTAATTTTCATTTCATAGTAGGATCCAGTCATGATTGCTCAGAAGAGGTCATCGGGGTCTGAATGAAGATAGGCTTGCAGTATGAGTTCACACTTTTAACAGGGAATTTGCAGTTTCCAGACTGCGCTGTTAACTGTTATCTTGTGCCTCCTCTAGAAGCTAGGGACTGTGAGCTAGATGCAGCTGTTAGTCCTAGCTAGAAAAAAAAAACACTGAATGAGATTTGATGTTAATAATACTGTAGTTATGTTAGATGATCCTAATGTGTCTGTTGTAGTCAAGGTTAGCAGTGATTGGATTCAGCTCACTGCAACATGAATGTCTGCAATGTTTAATTGTATTTCTCTTGTATTTTGAAGCAGAGGAAACTGGAAATTGTTTACAGGAGGACTGGAAGATAGTCAGACGGAAAAATGGACGATAAAAGAAAACGAGCCAGAGTTCAGGGTGGCTGGGCCAGTTCACTTAACAGCAGAGCTTCCTCTTGTGCAAGTAAGAGTCTGTTTTTATTGTAATATACATAGTGGAAAGGAAATCGCCTTGAATTTCATCTATTATAGGTTGGAATCTCAATGTCTTTTCTTAAGAAAAATTCTTCTGACTGTAATTTTTTACACTGGTATCAACATCTATACTGTCCAGGTTACATTGCCTCTTCTGTGAGATATCATATCTCATAGCATACAGGAGGAGAAGAGAGAGTGGGAGGGATTTTGTTGCTCTTCACACCTGTTTGCAGCCTATGCTTAATTGTTAGATATTTTTCCCAGTGTATGACAGAAATGAAAACTGCAACAACAGCTCAGAATATGATGCTAGATTTGCTTGGCTTATGACTAAAAATAAATAGAGCATCTGTAAGTGTAGGATGGATTTATGCAATAGGAATCTCCTGTATGTTATGCTACATTTTTCTTTGTGCATACATGGGATTTTGCTAAATAGGTATCTGTCTAGATGTTCCAGTGAAAGAAAAAGATTTTTGAAATTGTGTTTCTAGAAATGCTGTGTTAGATATTGCAGTCAGTATTGGAGTTTTCTGTTACATTTTGAATCAGAAAACTTTTGGTTGGCCTACACAGAGGAAGGTTTGATTTAACATTTTTGCTGATTTAAAAAAAGTTGCATTAAATGTCTATCTTATTAGTTTTGCATAATGTGTAAGTACATGATTTTTTTCCATAGAGCCAAAACGTAGCTCTACTGAAATGCTGTATTTCATTAAGCAAAACAATCCAGTAAAAGACATATTCAGTGCAATTTTATGCATACGTAATCAGAAACCTCATATGGGGGGAGGATGTATATGTTTTTAGATTATTCTCAACTTAAAGCAACCCTGTTAATTAATGACTTCTGAAAGATACTAGCATTAATAGTCATGATCAGATCTTAGAAACAAACAACTAAATTCCTTTATTGAATCAGCTCATCTCATGTTCAATCACTTTGTTTTCCTATTGCTATCCATATTTCCCAGCATTATTGTCTGTTCCAGTGAATATTGTCATCTTATTATATATCCTGAGTATTGTAGCCTTAGTTTAGTTTCTGGTGAGAATTCAGGATTGAGTTTATCTAAAAAACCCACTTGTCTTTCTGGCGATCCATGGTATCTACAAAATTCACCTCCAACATCACATTTTGAATGAATCAATTAATTTCTTGTATTCGCGAAGGCTTTCACGGCCAGGATCTAATGGTTGTTGTTGGTTTTTCGGGCTCTTTGGCCGTGTTCTGAAGGTTATTCTTCCTAACATTTCGCCAGTCTCTGTGGCCTCTGAAGATGCCGGCCACAGAGACTGGCAAAACTTTAGGAAGAACAACCTTCAGAACATGGCCAAAGAGCCCAAAAAACCCACAACAACCAATGAATTTGTCAGATATATTTGTTGTCCTGCTTTCATATCCCCGTGTAGTAATCTTGGCCTTGATCTTGGAAAAGCCATAGTTCAATAATATTCCATAAATGTTGCCTGCAGAAGGTTGATATTATAAGGTAGTTCCAGGAAACTACCTTGATATCTTCTGCCACTTAGTGTTGGCACTGCTGGCTTGATTTGATATGAAGCAGTTTTCCTTTATTTCTTACTTTAGTAGGACATATTGGCTAGAATCTATTTGCATAGATTTCCCTGTGCATTGAGAATGACGTTAGTGGCCATGACAGCTCTTTTTTTGCATTTGGGGTCTATACAACTCACACATAATAATACAAAGTCATATGTGCCCTGGATTAGAAAATGGAAATCTTTTATTAGCAGCAATCTGTTATGGCCCATGAAATCACTCTTGTACAGTTAAAGCTATGCAGCAGAATACTGACTAAAGATGGGGGTGTTTGTATATGAATACAAATATCCCTGTGCAGCTGGACTTAACCATCCACTCACTCGTCTGGTGGCGGCGGCCCTGCTCATCCTTCCAATTGTGCCTGGAATGCTGCTCTCTTCCTGATTGGCTGGCCACTCCAGGCAGGAGGAGGAAGGATGAGTCTTCCTGCATGGCTGCTGAGTGACCAGCCGAGCAGGAAGAGATCAGTGCTCTGGTGTGATTGGAAGGATGAGCGGGGCTGCAACCGCCACCAGATGCGTGAGTGGACAGTTAAGTCCAGCTGCGTGGGGATATTTGTATTTGAATACCTCCATCTCTTAATACTGACCAGTGCTATGGAATTGCAATCTAAACAATTTTAACATCATTCAAGCACGTAGAATAATGGAGTTGGAAGGGGTATATAAGGCCATATAAGTGGTGCCTCGCTTAGCGATCGCTCCGTTGAGCGATGAAATCGCTTAGCAACGGGGTTTAAGTGATCGCAAAAGCGATCGCTTAGCGATGGTCCCTATGGGGAAAATTCGCTTTTCGATGATCACAGGGAAGCAAGCGATCATCGCAAAGCCCCCATTTTTGGCCAGCTAATCAGCGGTTTCAAAATGGTCGCCCACTGTGTTGCCTCTCTTTAGAGGCACCGAAAATGGTCATCCCTATGGAGGATTTTCGCTTAAGGTTAGTTTTGAAGCCCATAGGAACGCATTAATGGCGTTTTAATGTGTTTCTATGGGCTTTTTAAATCCGTTTAGCGATGAAATCGCTTAGCAACATTTTTTCTGCAGGGATTAACGTTGCTAAGCGAGACACCACTGTATTTGCAAACTTCTTGATAGTGCTATAAATATTTTGAAATGGGGCAGCCCAATAGCATATGCTTATGTTGTTTAAATTAAGACAAAAGGACAGCACAGAAAACTGTTAACATATGAATCTTAGTATTCCTAGATTGCTGTGTAGCTAAGTTTATGTACTTCTTTGTAATAATAATCTGAAATAGTTAATTAGAAGCCTGAGTTTAGATTTCACTAGTATTTTAATCACTCAGGCTGCATAGTTGAACTTCTGTTCTTTTTATTAACTGATCTTGTAAAGGGCCACATTTCTAAATGCAAAGTATACATCAGTAAAAAATTAATTTGTAACCTTAGGATTTTTCTTACAAATGCAGGGTGTAACAAGCAGAACATTCTGACTTTGAACTTAAACAGGACCTAGAGATGGTTTGATTGGCAGAAAATAGCTTTCTACTTGTGTAGGATCTGGTGGATTCTGCTTTACTCAAGCAGCAGGAGAAGAGGAACCACCCATGAAACACAGCAAATTAGCAGGATGCTAGTTTGTGTTTTATATTATAACTTCATCTTAGGAAAGGACCTTTCCTTTCATAGGTAGATCTTTGCAAATACATATTAACACAGAAGGTAGTATTGGAAATGTTAAAAAAATAGTGTCAAATTGCCAGAGTTCCTCCGCATCCCAAATTTGTTTGTTGTAGTTTCTTAGTTCCCATACATGTTCCCTGCCAAGGGATCTACTAGGTTGTAGCATATATCCTCTTAAAATTACAGTTGCTAGGTTTTGGGTTTTTTTGCAGAGAAACTATGAGAGATAAACTGTTTATAGTTATCTGGTGTAGGAGTGTGCTCATAGTGCTGGATATACCAGTACTGAATAATGGTAAAGATACATTGTTCATATTTTTCCCATAGTTTATATTAAATTTTTAGCTCCTCCTTCTCCTTTTTACCTTAGCTTCTGGAGCTTCCAATGCTAAGAACCAAGTCTTTCCAAGCTCTCCACAGTCACGGGCAGGAAGAGGGGAGCAGCTTTCATCCAAAAAGCACTTTGTTTTTAAAGCACCAGAACAGGTAAATAGTAAACCATCTTGTTCTCATGTTGTACATATTGCACACATATGCAGACACAAACATGTATAATCCGTTATTAATATGCAACAGTTTCTAAAGCACATTATAAATGTATAACAACTACTTCTTGCATATACCTTTTAAAAAGATGTATCAAATCAGATTAATTTCTGACTATTAGTTATTGCAAATAATATGTTGGTTACATTCATAATTAAAAATGAAAGGTAAGTTTTCATAGTAACAGCCATTATTTACCGTATTTTACCGTGTTTGACACTTTTTCCTAAAATAGAGGAAAATTTGAGGTTCGTCTTATAAACGGAAGGAAGCAGAAGCAGTCATGCACGCATGCTTGGGTGCCTCTTGCTGCCACCGCTGTCGCCCAATTGCCTCTTTCAGAGCTCACGACTTGTCCCCTCCGTGGCCGAGGCAGCATCAGCAGCAGGAGGCAGAGACAGAGGCAAAGGAGCATTCACACGCACTCCGGCGCCTCTTGATGCCTGCCTCCCGCCCATCCACCTGATCACAACCCCCAGTGATACTGAGGGGCTCAGCTCAGTCTCTTCCTTGTCCTCTCCAGGGGCCTTGACAGCAGGAGGCATAGGCGAAGGAGCATTCACACGTGCTCCGGCACCTCTGGCTGCTGCCTCCCCCTGCCCGATCACCACTGTCTTGTCCCCTCCATGGTGGAGGCAGCAGGAGGCGCACACTGGGGCGCCTCTTCCTGCCTCATTAGCAAAGGAAAGGGAGTAACGGCTCTCCTTCCTTTTTTGCTAAAGCCCACGCCCCTCTAAATAAATTAATTAGAGGAAAAGTTGAGTGACGTTTTATAAACGGAAGGAAGCAGTTGTGTGAGCTCTCAGGCACCTCTTGCTGCTGCTGCCGCTGCTGCCCAATGGTCTCTCCCAGAGCTCATGGCTTGTCCCCTCTGGTGGCCCTGAGGCAGCAGGAGGCGAAGGTCAAGGAGCATTCACATATGCTCAGGCACCTGTTGCTGCTGCCTTCGCCCGCCTGATCACGACCTCCACTGGGACTGACTGGCTCAGCTCACATTGCCACCTTGTCCCCTCCAGTAGTGGAGGCAAGAGGAGGCGGAGGCAAACAAGCACTCGCGCGTGCTTGGGCGCCTCTTCCTGGTGCCGCCACCAGGTCACCTCCTCCCATGATCTCCTTAGGGCAAGGGACAAGGCAGCGACGTGAGCTGGAGGTGAGCCCCAGCAGTCGCACTGGAGGAGGTAATCGGGCGGGCAGCGGATACAGCAGCAGCAGGAGATGGAGGTGGAGGAGCAGTTGCCCATTAACCGCTCTTCCACGTCCATCAAGGGTCAAAATTAGGGGGTCATTTTATACATTGAGGGCTCGTATACACGGTAAAATACAGTAATTCATTTTTCAGTAGAGATGGCAACTGTAACAGTATAACAGAGCATTTACACTAGCATATAGATTTGGTATATGAATTGTAATGACATGGTTTATATTGGGGGAGCCCATGTCTGCAAGAGTTTCTACTTAGATCAAACCGTCCTTCCCCTTTAAGAGCTGTTGTGCACTTTTCTGGCCCAGCAGCAGTAGAGCATATATTCTTTTTAGCATGCTTGCTTCTTGTTTAGTCTTTTTATCTGGGAGATAGCAGTCTTGTGGCTGAGAAAGTGAGACGGAATCCCAGTCTGGATAGGCCCTAAGTAAAAATATTTTGTTTTTGCCTTTCTTGAAAAAATGTATGCAGGAATTCTCCCTCCACAGCTCCCAATGCAGTGCCTAAGCCCATAGAATGATTTTTTAAAATGTGGTCAGTCCCTTAAACTAAAGATGTACCTCAGAATTAATGAGTCATCAAAACATTGCTCGTTGTCTCAGATACTTGGATATGCCTGCTGTATAAACCTTTGGTATTTTTCTTTTAGGTGATACGCAAAGCTCCACAGCCTAAAATGATTGAGTAAGTATGAATTCCATATCTCAGCTGTAGAACCAAGACCACATCAGCTGTTGCTTATTTTAACATTTCTGTTGCAAAGTGGCTTCCGTTGACTGGGCAACAGGCATAGCGGCTCATATTTCTGTATTTGAGCCCATTGGGTATATTTTCCTTCCTCTTTGCCTTTGTTTGAAATCTTGTCCCTCCCTTCTCAATAGGAAACAAGGTATTTATGAGATCAGCACATCACCTTCAGGAGTGTCGCGGTAAGCAAATAAAATGGATGTATATATTGTTGAAATATGATACAGTATGATTCTCTCTTAGGGCTTGGATCAGCTGGGATGTTGTGGAATGCACTATTGCAATACAGCAGTGCCCCGCTTGACGACGATAATCCGTTCCATTAAAATCGCTGTTAAGCGATATTGTCATCAAGTGAAAGTTTAAAAAAACCATTGAAATGCATTGAAAACCGTTCAGTGCATTCCAGTGGGCGAAATACCTCATCGTAAAGCGAAGATCCTCCATAGGGGAAGCCATTTTCGATCACTGTCTTCCGGAAATAGGTCCGGAAAACAGCGGGAGGCCATTTTGAAACCCCAACGATCAGCTGTTTTTTAATCATCGTGAAATGAAAAATCGGTTCCCGAAGCAGGGAACTAATTGTTGTCAAATGAAAAAAAAAACCATTGAATTGTTGCTATAGTGATCACATAAAACTACTGTAATCATAAAGCGATTTCGACATCTAATGGTGTAATCGTCAAGCGGGGCACCACTTTTGTTCAATAATCTAAACTTGGTCTATCTGACATGGCAGTACTTCTGTTAACTTAGTAACTAGACACAGAAACTGTTGGAAGACTTCAGAACTACTTAACTCTATAGATCTTCATTTGAAAAACTCAAAGTACGGGAATAGAAACAAACCCTAAAAGGCAGGCAACTGCTAGTTTTAGCACTGTTACACATATTCAGATTATCATTATTATCTTAGAATTGCAGAGCTGGAGGGGACCTTATTAATCAAGTCCAGCCCCGTCGAGGAGACACAGTGGGGAATTTAACTCCTAACCTCTGGCTCTGCAGCCAGATACCTAAACCACTGAGCGGTCCAACAGTTTTACGTTACTTGATGTGTTCAGAAATATGTGTGCTAGAAGTTACAGTTATGCTAGTGTGTCATTTTTAACACTTCAAGGAAATTGCAATTTTCTGTGTAATGTTGGAACTTACTTGTTCATGTTCTTACAAAAAAGCACTGGACACTGTGACTTTTGGAAATATGACCATAAGATTCCTGATAGTCTATTTAGCTTCAAATTTTTAAAGTATCAAGAAAATTAGACAGCCCATTTGAATTTAAACTGAAATTGAGTTGTTATTCTTAGAAATGATCCCAGAAGTTAACTAACCTGCAGAATTGTTTACTGGCCTTTTGGGAGCTAGTAGAGGAGGGACTCATGCCTTTATGCATCCTACTCATGGGCATTTCTGTACCAGATGCTGAAGAAGGGTGTAATCTTTCCTTCATTGGGAGCCTAATGTTTTCTGTAGCTGTGACTTTCAGGCTAATCTTTAAAGTACAAGAATGCAGTTGTACATCATCTTATCTGGAGAACAGGTGTTGAAATAGTCTTGTTGAATCAATTTTGTTGTGTTCCAGAATCCATTTGATTCCTGGCTTCATTGATTTAAATGAAGCAGACTGGATGTTTGAACAGCTCTTCCATGAAATCCCCTGGAGGCAGAGAGCACACGTCAGACAAGGTAACTGTATCATTGTTCTCATTTAACTGCTCACTCTTGTTATGCCAGTCTGGCTCACTGTCAGCAGCCAGCATACATACCTACTGGTGTTCACATACTCCAGTAGGACTTGCTGACTCCTATGTTTTGCCTCAGGTGCTACAGGGCCTGATAGTGTTGCATTGACAAGCCTACACCTTGCACAATTTCTTGGGCAGGCTTTCAGGAGGAGTGGCAGAACAGTAACTCACTGGCTATGTCTGCTTGTTTCTGTTGTCAGAAACAAGGTAACAGTGCTCAGGAACTGATTAGAACAAACCAGCAGCTCTGTTTCCAGCCCACTTCAGTTTTCTTAGCTGAACACAAACTCCTACTCATACATAAGCAGCTACAGCAGTGCTTCCATCTAGGTGCCTGAATGTGAGCAGACACTAGCAGAGGTTGAGAAAATTGCTTTTTAAAGTGACTCAGAATCCCCCACCCTGCATGACTAATTTTGGGACCTATGTTCCCAATAAGTAACTTTTCTGATCTCTAGGCGCTGGCATCATAGTGAACCAGGAGAAATACACCTCCCAGTCCTCACTATGGGCCTTATTGTGGCAAGTCTATTCCCTCTAGAGCAGGGGTCCCCAACCTCTGGGCCATGGACTGGTACTGGTCCATGGCCTTGGAAGGACTGGGCCACTGGGACAGATGAGCAGCGAGCAAAACTCCGCCTCCTGTCAGCATGCTCCTGTTAGGTTCTCATGCTGCTGCTGATCTGACAGGAGGTGTAATGATAACATGAATAAAGGGCACATACATGTAATGATCTCGATTTAAAGCTATCTTCCAACAACCTACTGCATAACAAGTCCCCCCGCCTGTCCCAGTCCTTGGGAGAATGGTCTAAACCAGTCCCTGGTGTCAAAAAGGTTGGGGACCACTGCTCTAATGCAATGGTTCCCAAATGTGGGTCACCAGATGTTCTTGGACTACAGCTCCCAGAAATCCTGGCTAACATAATTAGTGGTGAAGGCTTCTGGGAGTTTTAGTCCAATAATTTGGACTAAAGTTGGAAACCACTGCTCTAGAGTTCCCAAGCTCTAATTCTGACAACACTTCATGCATACCTTTAAAAATATTAGGGTGGTTGTATTTCCCATAGTCTTTCGTAGCTGTATCTCATGACACAGTCTGAGGCTAGAGAAAAGACCTTAATGTTTCTGTTGTCTACTGTTTTTGTCTCAAATTTGCTTGCTGCTGCATGGAAGCACCTTGGCATGGAGCTTGTAGACTTTATGTAGCAAACCATTTAAATATTTTATCTAGGCACAGCTGTGATTGTCATATGTAATAACCTGCATTTATATTCTGCTTGATCTGACCATTAGGGGGCAGTTGTGCTGTTTCTTTGTAATGCAGGAAAGATGTCATTATTCACATGTAGTCTAGAAAATCCTGAAGGGGAACAAATTGCATACCAAGGGGCTTTACTAGAATGCACATGTCCAGCTCTATAATGTGTTTTTTATTTGGAAGCAGGGTGGATTTGATTTCAATCAAATTGATTTAAATTACAATTCAAATCACAGTTTAAATTTTTAAAAAATCAGATTTCTTGATGATTTAAATCAATTTGATTTTAAAAATCATTGATTTTTATCCACCCTGTTTGGAAGTCATGAATGACGTATTTTCTTTGTCTAGATCTATCTTATGATGAACCCAGACTCACAGCATGGTATGGTGAACTTCCATACACTTATTCCAGACTTACAATGTTGGCAAACCCTCATGTACGTATACGCTTACCTGTGATCTGAATTTAACTATTGAAAGTGGCCAATAGTGGTGTCATGGAATTAATAATAGTGATGATAAAGATGAAACAGTCAGGATGATAATAATTATATATGCCAGTTTTCAGATGATGAAGACAAATAGGGTATGTGAATTTAATGAATATAGTTTAAATGAATGTTGGATGACAAAACAGGCTTGAAATAATTCAACTTTATTAAACATGTATGCATGCCTCAAGCACAGTAAATACAGCTCTTTGTATTTTTAAAAAAGTATTCCAAAGCATCACTAAGCATGTTTGAGTATGGATAGCTTGCTCACATTAATGAATAAAATGTGCATTTCTGTATGTCTTTCCTACAAGTAGTTTAGACTGGTGAGCTATATCCTTGAGTAAATATTTGAACCTGGGTTATCGCTAAGTGCTAAACATCCATATCTGACACTTCTAAAAAACTGTGCTAGTTCCAGATAAAACTTTATCTGGAAATTTGTTCCTTCTCGTTTGTTTAGAAATTGCATAATGGAAAAAAGTATATCAGTTAGAGTGAATATTCTTAAAATCAGTTTGTTAGTTGTGAACAATGAGATTGGTGTGCTGAGCTCAGATGTCACTTCAAGCAGTTCTGATCTGTTATTTCACTATTTCTTTTTCAACTTATCTGCTTCTTTGTCCCTCTGCAATATTATTATTTTATTATTTATTTATTATTATTTATTATTTATTTAATTTATATGCCGCCCACACTACCCAAAGGTCTCTGGTTTGATCCTCAGTGCTTAGTTTGTTGGGATAGCATACACATATCCTATAGCAGTCATGCTTAATTGCTAAGTGCTTTATAACCTGCAGTAACTTTTTCCATAACAATTACTGTTCAGTTGTACATAGATGCCTGTAGCCTTGCTGAGGTCACTGTGGAAGAATGTTGCAGTGAGAACCCAGGGGAATCTTGGAATGATTCAACACTGGAGGAGCAGTACTGAAAGATAAAAAATGTTATGATATGTGTTTCTTTACCTTAATTAGAAGGGATGGCAATCACATCATCTCCCTAACAGTATGAGTGAATGGCTCTGTATATTGGAACCAGTTCAAAATCAGTTTAAGTTACATGGTTTTACTGAAGTCTAGAGTGCTGCCATCTTGAGACAGCACTACATGTTTTGCTAGTAATCTCTAATTTCTTTTAACACTTCCAGAGATCCTTAGGAGTCAAGGGAGTCCTTAGGAGTGTTAGTTTAAATTTTGTAATGCAGGCAAGACACATGTAGTAGGGAATGCTTAAAGAAGTGCAGGGTGTATTGGAAATAATACTTCATATAGATAGTTGTGCATGAGCAGAGTAGAATATTAATTTAGAATATACCATATTTAAAATTATCTTATAATATGAAACATGTTCTAGCTTTGGTGTCACCAAGAGGAAGACTCTCCTCACTATTCTGTTCTGAAAGGAACTTATCAGATGTCAGCTGAACTTGGATCCTCTGACTGTTTGCTTAAGGCATGAGAAACCTGAGCCTCCAAGAGCTTTGTGTTAAGATCAGCACATCTCCAGAATCTGGAAAATTAAAAAGACTTCGGGACATTGTATGAACAGTGGTGTGTGTATATGGATGTAGACACAGAAAAAAGCAGCCTTTCATACCCAGTATTTAGAATTAAGTTGCAGACTGTTAAGTAAGCTCCAAATTATGCATAGTGGCATTGGTAATTGGCATCCCATGGAGGCTGATAAATTTGATTTTGTGTACAGCTTATTTGCATGCCTCAATAATAGCAAATACAGCGCTTCATATTATTTTTATGTTCCAAAGCACCACTAAGCATGTTTGGGTATAGATAGCTTGCTCACCAGAATTTACTGTGTATTACTAGAGAAGACCATATTTTTTCTTTTGGCTCTCTTTCTCTATACTTACTCCTTTCCCACCATAGTATATTAGATGCATTGAGACTATAGTAGATGCAACATCTTGCTATCACAAGAGTTCTTGGGAAAGAGATGGACAAAGATTCAACATTCCAGGAGGAAAGTGCATTGAGAAATCTCAAAATTTCAAGCAAAAAGGATGAAAAGCTGAAATAAAATACATGAAAATGGCACTTCCTGTGCACGGATATACCGTGTTTCCCCAAAAATAAGACAGGGCCTTATATTAATTTTTGCTCCAAAAATGTATTAGGGCTTATTTTCAGGGGATATTTTATTATTTCATGTACAACTATCTACATTTATTCAAATGTAGTCATGTCGTCATCTTCTGGTTGCTGTAATGGTGGAGGGTGGACTTTCACTTAACTCGGGCTTATTCTGGGGGTAGGGCTTACATTATGAGCATCCTGAAAAATCATACTAGGGCTTATTTTCGGGTTAGGGCTTATTTTTGGGAAAACATGGTACTTAACGCATTTCTGAAGCCATGACCATAGTTATGCCATTAGACAGCTTTATGGTTTTCTTTTCCCATTCATCTACATTAATGTATGTGTTTGAATGGCATTTTGTCTGTGTATAAGTGTGAAAGGTGATAGCCTGGTCTTCAGAAATGTTTGATGTCAGTTCAGGGCCTATATAGTCAGAAAGATGGTGCTTGAAATGTGAAATATCTAGTAATGAGAAATGTTTTAGGCCATTGTTTCAGTATTTAGTGTTGCTAGCTAAAACCTTAGTGGAACCATTTAGTATTTTTGCCTGCTGTCCCTAGGGCCTCACGCCTCAATCAAATACTTTGCATTTCCCCCTCATGCCTTTATAGCTCTCTAGGTAAATTGAGTCAGATTTTTGGAATGCTGTCATTTCTGGTATTAGAGACATATCAAACATTACATGCTTTTAGCATCTGTCAAAAACCCTCCTCTTCACACAGGCCTTTTTGAACTGATTCTGTAGTACTGTTTCCACTAAGGGGGAGGATATAAGAGAAATATAAATTCTGCTGCCCATCTGAAAATTGTGCTTTGAGTATCTGATTTTAAATGCTACAGTTTGGTTGTTTTAATTGATTATTTAATGTTTTGTGTTTTAATATATAGTATATTTTGTTACTTTATTGTCTACTGTTCCATGATACTGTAATGTATTGGCAGTGATAAAATAATAACTTTTCAAGTAATTCTGTTGATTTCAGTGGCATCCACTACTGACTATGCTGAAAGATCGTGTTGAAGATTTCACTAAAAACACCTTCAATTCTCTGCTTTGCAACCTGTATCGGAATGAAAAAGACAGTGTTGACTGGCACAGTGATGATGAGCCAGCATTGGGACAAAATCCTGTTATTGCTTCACTCAGCTTTGGTGCTACCCGGATGTTTGAGATGAGGAAGAAACCTTTGCCTGTGAGTGTGTTGACTCTCTACGCTGTATAGAATGTTGTAGTAACTAGAGATGGGGGTATTCATATTTGTACAGTATATGAATATGAATATCCCTGTGCAGCTGGAATTATGAGGGTCTGTCCCCTGGGGCCAGACTGTCCACTCACGCGTCCAGTGGCAGTGGCCTCACTGATCCAGTCACTCCCGGATACCTGGTCTTTTCCTGCTCGGCAGCTGTGCAGTAAGTCTCCTCCTCCCTCCCCTTGCCTGGAGTGGCTAGCCGAGCAGGAAGAGAGAGGGGCTCTGGGAGTGATTGGAAGGGTGAGCGAGGCCACCACCACCACCGGATGTGTGAGTGGATGGTCCAGCTCCAGGGGACAGACCCTTGTTAACTCAAGCTGCGTGGGGGTATTTGTATACGAATACAAATACTCCCATCTCTAGTAATAACCCTTTCATAACAGTTATTTTTAATTTATAAAAATGGTACAGCCAGTAGTAAAGAGCGGTGAAAACAACTAAAACAATAGTAAATGAAATTAGAAAACGTATTTGACTACCGCCATAAAATATTAAAAATGATGTTTATGGGGCGGTTCATAATTACTTAATAAAACAGGAGTCTTACTTATGAAGTGCTGTCAAGTCCCATCTGATTTACTGCAGCCCTAATAGATCTGCCTAACAGGATTTTCAAGAGGTGTGATATATTTAAGCAGTGTTTTTGCCATTACCATCCCCTGGTGCGTGTCTGTGGCTGGGCATGGTTTGAATCCAGGTTTCCGGAATCCTAGTCTGACATTCCATACACTATGCCATACTGACAATATTTAACTATCAGTTGTTCATTATTTGACTCAAGCAATGCAAAAAGACAGTCAAGATGCTTTGTTCCAAAACTAAATTTATTTATTTATTTATTTATAGCCCACCCATCTAGATTGAAGTCTACTCTGGACGGCTAACGATAATAGATAAAAGTAAAAACAATATATAAAATAAAAGCAACAGCAATAATATAATTCAAGATCAGAAAAATAATCAAGTGATGATAGGAGGAAAAGCCTGCCTAAAGAGCCAGGTCTTAAGTTTGCTCTTAAAAACACCCAACACGGGAGCCAGACAGATCTCTGGGGGTAGACTGTTCCAGAGGCGAGGGGCCACTGTCAAGAAGGCCCTGTTTCTTGTTCTTTCTCTCCTGGTCTCCTTCAGCCTTAGGCCCCTCAGCCGCCCTTCCTGGCTAGAATGAGTGATTCGGGTAGATCTAGGTGGGAGGAGGCGTTCTGCTAGATATTGAGGTCCTAAACCGTTAGGGCTTTATATGTCATCATTAACAGTTTGAAATCAATGCGGAAGCAAGCAGGCAGCCAATGCAAGGCAGCCAGAGTGGGGGAAATATGCTGATATTTTCTCACCTCAGTAAGAAGTCTGGCTGCTGCATTCTGTACCATTTGAAGCTCCTGCATCAATCTCAAAGGTAGCTCCACGTAGAGTGTGTTACATCTCGAGATTACAAGTGCATGGGCCAGAGTGGTGAGCACCCCAACATCAAGATAGGGACGCAGCTGGGCAATCCGCAAGAGATGAAAATAGGTAGAGCAGACTACTGACACCATGGGTTTCCATGGTGAGTGCCAGATCCAGGTCCAGAATCCCAAGCTATGAACCTTATTCTTTGCGGTGAGAGTCACTTCCCCAAAAGAGAGGGAGTTTCCCAAACCACCAATGGAGGCGCCACCCACCCTCAGAACCTCCGTCTTGTCTGGATTCAGCCTCAGTTCATTCTCCTGCATCCATTGCAGTACAGACTCCAGGCAGCGCTGAAGGGACGGAATGGCATCCCCTGTGGTTGGAAAAAAGGAGATGTAGAGTTGGGTGTCATTAGAGTACTGATGACACAAAGCCCCACACCCCCTGATGACCCCACCCAGCAGCCTCATAATAGATATTAAACAGCATGGGGAGATAACCGAGCCCTACAGAACCCCACAGTTGAGACTCCACGGGGCCGAAATACTCTCCCCAGTCTGTACTCTCTGAGGACAGTCCTCCAAGAAGGATCGGAGCCAGGCAAGTGCCAGACCACCAATTCCCAACATGGAGAGCCTCCCCAGGAGGATACCGTGGTCGACAATATCGAAGGTGGCTGAGATATCGAGGAGTACCAACAGAGACGTTTTGCCCTTGTTGACCTCCCTCAGTAGGTCATCAAACAGGGCGACCAATGCAGTTTCCGTACCTTGGTGTGGCCTGAAGCCCGACTAAAATGTATCCAGGGCATTGGTTTAATCCAAAAAGGCCTGAAGCTGGTCAGCCACCAACCTCTGTACCACTTTGCTGAGGAAAGAAACATTGGCGACAGGCCTGTAATTGCCATTGTTCTCTGCTGCCAAACTTGGTTTCTTTCTAATGGGCCTAATGAGTATCTCCTGGAGAGACCCATCAATTATTGCAGTGGCCCATTCAGTTGTTATAGGCCTGGCTGCTTTGATGAGCCAGGCTGGGCAAGGGTCAAGGGAGGAGGTGGTGGCATTACAGTGGTCAAGCGCTTTGTCCACCATATCTGGTGTCAGAGGCTGAAAGAGATCGAGTCTCATCAGGCAAGGCGGAGCACTGGAAGTCTCTGCTTGATCTACTGTGTTCAAAAAAAAGGAAAGAGCTCCTGGCAGATGACCTCCACTGTACTGCAAATTGGTCAGGTCAAATACTAGTAGGAAGCCTATCACTTAGACCAATTCCAAATAGATCGCAGGCTATACAGAAAAGTTCTGCCTGCTGATTTGAAGCTTCGCTTATCCGGGCAGCGAAGTGAGCTTGACTGGCAGCCCAGCCCTCACCTTAGTAAGATAATGATTAGTCATGATCCTGACAGCTTTCCAATTATATTCTGTCGGGTTCCATCTCCAATTGCACTCAGGCCTTCTATTCTGCAGCTGCTGGTTAAACCAGGGCGCTGGATGAGCTCTGCAACAGTGACGGCGTTTAGGAGTGATCGTGTCAACAGTCCTGGTGGCGGTGGCAAGCCAGCTATCAGCCAGAGCCTCGACAGGCCTGTCAGATCAGCCGGAATCCTTCTCATGGAGTCCTGGAATCCTATAGGATCCAGTAGCCTTTGAGCGTGGACCATTAAAATAGGTCTTTACTCCCTGCAGGGAAAGAGAGCCACTGAGAGGTTGCATTTTCTTAGGCAGTGATCCAACCATGACAAGGGAACTGACACAAGGTCAAGTCACCATCAGACCACACTCACTCCGCTCGGTGGAGAACACCAGGTCTAGCGTGTGACCGCCCACGTGGGTGGGGCTGTTAACATGTCCAAGGAAGCCATAATTTCCAAGAACTCAAGAGCAGGACCAGAAACCTCCACCTCTGCATGGATGTTGAAATCACCCAAGACCAGAAGCCTCGGGGATTCCAACAGTGCTGCAGAGACTAGGTCTGCCAGTAAGGAAATGGCTGGGTCACAGGGAGCGTGGTAACCCAGCAAGATCCCAAGACCATCCCTGGCCCCAATCAACATGTGGAGGGCCTCCAGACCTGGCTTCACCACTGTAGAGCACCTAACAACCTCTAGAGTGCTGTCCTCTGAAGATGGCGGCCACAGAGACTGGCAAAACGTTAGGAAGAACAACCTTCAGAACACGGCCAAAGAGCCTGAAAAACCCACAACAACCATTAGATCCTGGCCGTGAAAGCCTGTGCAAATACAAACCTCTAGAGTGTTTCTATAAACAATGGTACTTCTCTCTTTCTTTCTTTCTTTCTTTCTTTCTTTCTTTCTTTCTTTCTCTTTTTCTTTCTTTCTCTGGTCTGCCCTAGTGTTGGACTGTATAACCGGGAGGACAGGCAAGGGTCAAGGGAACGCCCCCTTTCCTGCCCATCCAAGTTTCAGTGATGTATGCCGGATCTGCATCCTCCTCCAGAATAAGATCTTGAATAATCTGGGACTTATTGGATACAGATCTGGCATTCAATAACACCAGATTTAGATTGGAGGGATGGCTTATCTGGCAACCTCGAGTCTGATAGGTAGTCACAGTGCCAGAACAGTGAACAGCTTCAAACATCTGTTCACCGTTCTGAAATGAGTAGGAACTGTGCCATCACCATACCTCCCTCTACCCCTAATAACTCAGATTACGCCTAAAGGTATTGGAATGATTTTGGTTGCTTATAGATGTAATCAATGAATAGAGACCATGTTTTTTTGGCAGTTTATTAATATGCACCATGTTTTGAAAAACCCCTCCCTCGACACCCCCAAGCCTATACACAGTAAAGAATGCAGGAAATTTGGAAATTTCTTTTGTTTTTAAAGAAGTCTGAAGGTTTCGTGAAGTTTTCAGGGCTAGTGTGGCTTCTGATGGGTTCTGGGATGGTTGTAGTGGTCAGAGCTTTCTTCTGAAGCATGCTTCCGTGTTCTAAGCAAATGTTTGTTGATGCTGAAACTGGAAGACTGAAATGCGATATTTGCATAAACCTTCGTAATGGATTCTTTTATTCCTGTAATGTCCTTACATAATGGCCTTTGACAAGCAGTTGTGTTTGTTTTCTTTATTATGCTAGACCCAAGGCTACTGACCAGCAGAGTCTGCTATATGCAGAATATGTGTGATGCCTTGTGGGTCTGTCTCAGCTGACAACATCATTTCCCTGGAAAAGTACTAGAATGGTATAAATCCTAGAAGCCAGTCACAACAATTACCTTGCACTGGTTACTGACTGTTGCATAAGAGATGCTGCATATAAGAGAAATGCTGATTGAGGAATGGAGTCAGTAATGTTTGTTTCTGTAGTGCGAGTACATATTCCTGCCAAAAAGAAATTCATTTGTTTGTTCAAAGCTCAGTTCATAGTCTCTGGAATGATTGGCCATTTGTGGCCTCAAACATGTTCTATTCTTTGAACAGAATTATCTGCATACTTAAATATGTTTCTGAACTCATTCACTGATGCTGCTTATGCTGTGTTTAGTTCTGTGGATGTTACTAATGTGTCAAAATAGGACTTTGCTGTTACTT